AGTGAATTGTGGTTAATGTCATGAAACAAAATGTATGTAAACTACTGTATGGAAAGTGAATTTGCTCTGTAAATTTTCACCCAAATCACAATTAAAAAAAAAAAAAAAAACTTCCCAACTTATCTAATAAGCAACATCACAATAAATGGAGAAAAGATTTTGATGCTGTTAAGGATTTCATTTTACTTGGATCTACAATCAATACCCACAGAAGAAACTGTCAAGGAAGCAGATGTCATATTGCACTGGGCAAATATACTGTAAAAGGACTCTTTAAAGTGTTGTAGAGAAAAGATGTCACTTTGAAGACTAAAGGGTGCCTAACCCAAATCCTGGTCTTTTCAATTGCCTCCTGTGCTGGACAATGAGTAAGGAATACTGAAGAAGAGTTGATGATGTCTTTGAACTGTAGTATTAGCAAAGAATACTGGAAATACCATGGACTGTCAGAAGAACAAACAAATCTGTCTTGGAACAAGTGCATCTGGAATGCTCCTTAGAAGTAAGAATGGCCTGACTTTGTCTCACCTACTGTGATACTGTCATCAGAAGGGACCATTCCCTGGAGAAGGATATCATGTGTGATAAAGTGGAGGGTCAGCAAAAAAGGGGAAGACTCAAAATGAGATGAATTGACATAGTGGCTGCAACAGTGGGCTCAAGTATAGCAAGGATTGCAAGAATGACACAGGACCGGACAATGTTTCATTCCGCTGTGCATAGTGTCACCACAAGTTGGATCCAACTTGATGGCACCTAACAACAACAACATTACATACACAATTTTGCATTATTGGTAGCAACAAACATTAATCTATGTGTGGATATGTAGGTAGACAGGCAAGATGATGTGGTATGGGTAGGCGAATGGAAATGTACCCATGACCATATGTATATAGGTTTGTTGTTACTGTTGCTGTTAAGTGCCATCGAGTTGTCTCCAACTCATAACAACCCTATTACAACAGAATGAAACACTGCCCGGTCCTGTGCCAGCCTCACAATCCTTGTTATACCTGAGCCCATGTGAATCCATCTCATTGAGGGCCTTCCCATTTTTCATTGACTGTCCACTTTACCAAGCATGATATCTTTCTCCAGGGAATGGTTCCTTCTGACAACATGAACCAAAGCAGTGAGATGAAGTCTGGCCATTCTTGCTTCCAAGGAGCATTCTGGCTGCACTTCTTCCAGGACAGATTTGTTAATCCTTTTAGTAGTCCATGGTACTCTTAGCATTATTCTCCAACACCACAACTGAAAAGCATCAACTCTTCTTTGGTCTTCCTTATTCATTGTCCAACTCTCACATGCATAAGAGGCAATTGAAAATACCATGGTGCGGGTTGGGCACACCTTAGTCTTCAAGGAGACACTTTTGCTCTTCATCACTTGAAAGAGGTCTTTTGCAGCATATTTGCCCAATGCAATATGTCATCTGATATCTTGACTGCTGTTCCATTAGTGTTGATTGGAGAACCAAGTAATATGAAGTCCTTTACAACTTCAATCTTTTCCCCATCCATCGTGAAACTGTTTATTGGATGAGTTGTGAGGATTTTTGTTTTCTTAATATTGAGGTGTAATCCATACAGCTGACTGTAATCTTTAATTTTCATCGGTAAGTGCTTCAAGTCATCCTCACCATCAGCAAGCAAAGTTGTGTTGTCAGTGTATCTCAGGTTGTTAATGAGTTTTCCTTCAATCCTGATGCCACATTCTTCTTCATATAACCCAGCTTCTTGGATTACTTGCTCAGCACACAGACTGAATAAATATGGTGAAAGGATAGAACCCTGACACACTCCGTTCTTGATTTTAAATCATGCAGTGTCCCCTTGTTCTGTTCGAATGACAGCCTCTTGATCTATATACAAGTTCCTCATGAGTACAATCAAGTGTTCTGGAATTCCCACTCTTCTCAATGTTACTCATAATTTGTTATGGTCCATCCAATCAAATGCTTTTGCATAGTCAATAAAACATAAGTAAACATCTTTCTGGTATTCTTTGCTTTGAGCCAAGATCCATCTAACATCAGCTATGATATTCCTCATTCCATGTCCTCTTCTGAATCCAGCTTGCATTTCTGGAAGTTCTCTGTCAATATACTGCTACAACCATTCTTGAATTATTTTCAGTAAGATTATACTTGCATGTGACACTAAAGATATTGTTCAATAATTTCCACATTCTGTGGGATCACCTTTCTTTGGAATGGGTACAAATATGGATCTCTTCCATTCATTTGGCCAAGTAGTTGTCTTCCAAATTACTTGGCATAGCCAAGTAGTGCCTCCAGTAGGGCATCCATTTGTTGAAATATCTCAATAGGTATTCTATCAAGTCCTGGAGCCTTGTTCTTTGCCAGTTCTTTCAGTGCAGATTAGACTTCTTCCTTCAATACCGTATATATATTTGGCTGATGATATTTCTACATATGTATTTGTCTGTGCTATAAATATGGCCACTTATATAGTAAACCTAATGAGACAAAGTTATGATATCTTCTTAGCCACAGCCAAACACCTTGAGGGAGTGAGTCACTGAGTTTGTGGACTTGGGACATAGTAACATGGGACATCAAGCTCAACTGGCATAACATAGTACACAAAAACGTTGTTCTACATCCTAGTAGTGACTGGGGTCTCAAATGCTTGTGAGCAGCCATCTAAGATGCAACTATTTGTCTCTCCTTGTCCGGAGCAAAGAAAAGTGAAGACAATGAAAGACACATGGAAACAATTCATTCAAGAGACTAGTGAACCATGGAAATGCCAGTGTACGTAACCATGAAACCAGAAGAACTAGATGGTGCTCAGCTCCCAATGCCAACCACTCAAGAATGGATCAAAATTGGAGATCCTGGGTAGAGTGGGATAAAAATGTGGAACAAAACTCAAAATCATGAAAGAGACAAAAAAAAAAAAAAAAGACGAGGCTCACTGGTCTTATAGAGGCTGGTAGCCTGTAACCCACCCTTCAAGTCTGGGATTGAATTGACTCCCATGGCTTAACTTTCAGCCAAACAGCAGACAGACCTACCAGGTGAAGTGCACCCTTTTGAAAAATCAACCATGGGAGATCAGAAGGGCAGCACCTGCATAGGAAGAAAGCTCAGAAGGTAGGAATGAATAGGAAAGGAGGACACAGGGGAAAGGTAACCACAAGAAGTGGGAAGAGAGCTGTTACATTGTGGGGATAACAATCAATGTCACGAAACAAAATGTGTACGAACTGTTGAATGGAAAATGAACTTGCTCTATAAACTTTCACCCAAATCACAATAAAAAGTTACAAAGAAAAAAAAATTAAAAAGAAAAATGAGATTACAATCTAGGGGTTTCCTATAGGGTTGCCATGAGTTGAAATCAACTCAGTGACACACAACAACAATTGTGTTTATCATATTGTGTAACCATCTCCATTATCCATTTCCAATTTTTTCCATTACTTTTAATAGAAGCTTAGTGTCCCCTAAGTAATGCTCTCCCTTTCTCTCCTTCCTCCTGCCCACCTCTGGCAATCATTAATAAACTTAGGTATGTATCCACCTGCCTATTCTAGATATTTCAGCTAAACGGAATCATACAATATATGTCCTTTTGTGACTGACTGATTTCACATAGCATGATATTTTCTAGGCTCAACAATGTGGTAGCATGGCTGAACTTCATTTCTTGTTATGTTGAGTAATATTCCATTATATGCATATTGCACATCATGTTTATCCATTCATAAGTTGATGGACACTTCGGTTGTTTCCTTGTTTTGGCCATTGTGAACACTGGTGCAGTGAACATTGGTCTTCGTCCAGATGGTCTTTGAAGGACAGATTCACATACACACAGTATTAGTATGGTTAGAAACCTGATGAGGTTGTGAGGTTGTCTTGCATTGTGGGTGTGCTTTTGGTAGAGCTCTATTCCTTAAAAAAAAAAAAAAGGTAGGTCTGAATTTCAGAGAATGAATGTGCCATTGCTCTCTGCTTTCCAGTCACACACATAGAGACTTCACAACACTAGTTGGATGGGAAACACCCTTGGTCCTGTGATTTAAACATAGATTATGACATGGAGGTTGAAGTAGAGCTTTGAAAGTAATGCTTAGTTAGTACTGGATATCTGATTAGAAGTGGCAGGGCTTTTGTGCCAAAGGCAAACCCTAAGGGAAAAGGAAGGTACCTGGGTGACGCAAATGGTTTGTGCTTGACTACTAACCAAAAGGTTGACGGTTCAAATCCACCCAGTGGCACCCTGGAAGAAGGGCCTGGCAATCTTGTTTCTTATAGATTACTGCCAGGAAACCAGAGCTGTTTTATTTTGGAACTCATGTAACACATGAGGTCACCATAAGTTGGAATGTAGCCTATGGCAGTGGCTTTGGATTTTGGTTAAAGGAAAGGGAGAATAGATGTGTCTACAAGATGTTATGGGGGAGAGGTGGGTCAAGGAGAAAGGGTGGGGGGAGGATGTCTGAAGTGACAATTGAAGAAGATAGTGAGGAAGCAGTGTGTGTGTTTATTGGGGGAGGGGTGCTCTGGGACCATGGCCATGTGAGCAGAGGGCTCACAGAGTAAACGTGAGCACATTGGGTGTCTGTCACACACCCTGTCACCCTCTGGCCATGCCTGCTTTTACCTCTAGTTATTGCCTGACCTCAGAAAGCATTGTGTCTTTCTTAACAAATCCACCTCTTTTTCCAATGACCTTAAAGCACAAATTTAGGTCTCCTTCAATTTGAATTTCACCAGTTTCCTTTCCTTTGTGAATTTTTGACAGCTCTCAGGGATCCTCGACTTTACTCCTGCCCCATCTACAAGAAGCCGGTTCGGACAGACTTGAACTACATCGCCGCCGTGGAGCTCAGGACGACACAGCCCCCTGAACACTGGGTGCTCCGTGGGGTTGCCCTTCTCTGTGATGTCAAGTAACATGAGTGATCATACTTCCCCTGACAGTTTGGAAAATGCAAGATGTCAGTGGTCATATCCTCTGTTCCTCTGCGAGTTCTGCACAGTGTAGAAATCAGGTAGCTCGTCCAGTTAACGAGCTGTGTTGGCTCCCCCTATTCCTTGGTTAGATGATGACACTTAGTCTGTTTCATCATGAGTGACCCATCCCTGTTGAAAAAAAATAGCTAGTGGCTTAAAAACACAATTTACAACCTCCTAGTGAAATTTGGCCCTCAAATTCCTAATAAATAGATTTCTTCCTCCTGGAACTCCAAACACTGACAAATCAAGCAGACAGTATTTCCCTTGTGGGATTTTCTTCTGTTAATGTGGTTTTGGTGACAGCCAAGTTCTCTAGGGTCACATGGAAAGTTTGTGCTGATTTTGCTTCTATTGCCTTTTGCATTTAGGTCAGGCAAAGAGATTATATTCAGGGCTTCAAGCAGCTCATTAAATAGATCTTTTAAAAAATAGAAAGAAACAGAAAAATGGGCTAAGAGTGTGAAGAAAGAATTTATATATAGCTATAAAATAAACATAGAATAATGATCAACTCCACTGATAATTGGTAATGAGATAGTAATTGATATCTCTTAGAATAATAAAGGGAGCTCTGGTAGCATAGTGCCTAAGGCACTTGACTGCTAATCAGAAGGCTGGCAGTTCAAACCCACCAGCCACTCCTGGGAAGGAAGGTTGGACAATCTACTTCCATAGTGATACTGCCTCGGAAACCCAAGAAGGGGTCACTATGAGTCAGGTCTGACTTGACAGCACATAACAACAACAAGAATAATAAAAAAATAAAGCTATGTGTGAATCATGGTGAGATCTTTGTAAAACTTACACATTCATGAATTGCTGTTATTGTTGGGTGCTGTTGACTTGATTCCAATGCATCGTGATCCTAAAGGACAGAGTTGAATTGCCCCATAGACTGCCACATCTTTCTCCTGTGGAGCAGCTGAGTGGGTTTGCACTATTGGCTTTTTGGTTAACAGCAAGACTGCTTAACCATTCTGCCACCAGGAGTCTTCATAAATTGCTAGAGCGCTGTAAAGTGGCCCAACCTTTTTGTAAAACAATGAAACTATGCACAGAAAGAGTCAGAAAAATGGTCACGTGCCCTGGTCCTTATTTTCTGTCCTGGAAATTCATCCTAAGGAGGTGATTCAAAAGAGAGAAGACAAATGATATGTAAAAATTTTTACATAATAGAAAAAAATGGAAATACTAAATGTTCAATAGGAAGACTGTGCTTAAGGAAGTTAAGAGATATTAGGCAGTGATGAAAAACAACACTGAGGGTTTCATAACCTGGGAGTGGTAAACATAACAATACTGGAAAGATCATGTTGGATATTCCACCAAAGATAATATTGAGTATACTCTAACGGTAAAATCTATTTACATATGGACAAAGACTCATAGACAATATGGAAAACTAGAAAGAGGTGTGTTAGGAGGGTAAACACTGTAACGGACTTGATAAAAATGTCATGTTTGGAAGGAAAAAGATACAGGAAAGACACAAGTCTTAGAGGGTGAGTGGGAATTTCTCACAGGCTTTAGTTAATGAAAGAATGTAGTATCTAATGGACTTTTCATGTATATTTTTGGCATTCTGGTTTTAAATAATAATGTGCTTTTTAACATAACCTAGTGAGTTTAAAATTAGAATTACGGTTTTCAAGTGTATCATTAGCTTTAGATCCACATAGCTGCATGTTTCTGGTGTATAAAAGATTTCCTTGGGAAGGAGGCTACCGGCAGACAGGTGTGTGAGGCATGGCATTATTTTATGTCTGTCGTGAGGAGTGGTAGGCCTATGTGGTCCATGTAACTCCCGTCCTCTTCGACAACCCTGTTCCCATTTGAGCTGGCTTTTGGTATGAACTCATATATCCACTGCTTTGTGTGAATTGTGTAACACAATCATTTTATCTTGAAGAACAAATAATGACAACATAAAAATGCTGAAAATTAATAAAAGTCATTAATAATACTGGAATTGGAATTGTTATTTATTTGAAAGGGAAAAACTGTCGCTGCAGCGGTTGTTGGGTGCTGTTGAGCTGGCTTTTGACCATAACGACCCCGTGTGGCAGGCTAGAACTGCCCCTGTGATAGTTGAAGATGTGTCAACTTGGCTGGACTTCACTTGTGAGTGGTGTTTCCCATGATGGATCACATGACTGCGTCCTAAGCGGCCGGTCAGTCTAGGGGGAGTTTCCCCAGGGGTGTGGCCTACCTGTAATACTATCCCAGGAACAAACTGGAAAAACGGCATTCCAGATATA